TGCTTCGCTGAATTTGCTGTCAATAAAAATGCCGTACTAAATGATGACTGTTACAGTGGAAATTGAGACCTACAATCGTGTATCATTCTGTTTATGTCATTGTTATTAATAAGATATGGGAGCACAACTCCGACCGGAGACCCTCCGGTGCGAAGTGGCGTACAGCCAGAGGTGATGAACCAGGACCCGGCTGAACTGGGTGGGTGGCCTGGGTGGGTCTAGATCTCTATGTTTCCGGACACCAATTACACAAAGTAATGGATGCAATGGCGTCGTTTTAATTTATACGCCCTAACCAACCAATCGGAACTGTCAATTTTCCCGCCAAGCTACATTCCATTGCGTATTTATTAATTTATAATACCATTAACATAATATATTCAATGAGTTTGCATAATGCGGACAATRTAAATTTGGACACGATAAACTCAGTTCTTGACYTACACATCTTGTTAGTTTTCTACTCATGACAGATGTTTATTATTGTCTGTCATTTACGATTATGAAGTCGATTGATGTTTWTATTTRCTTTGAATGGATCAAGTAAGGCTTTTCATATCAAAGAATTACYCCAGAAGTTGTCCTCGTATCTAGCTCTAGTAAGTTGATCAACTTTTGACAACTATCCTAACTAACTTTCTGTTACCTTATCACCGATCATAATATAAAATTAATTTTATATAAATTTATTTAATTAATTTTTATATAAAATTCTTTTCAACGTGGGCTGCCATTGTTTTTGAGAATCCACGTCAAGTAGTCTCCCCTTTGKAAATTYTGGTGTAGACTTGAAGTCTTTAACCTCAGTGAGACTTTGAACTTATGTATTTTCAGTTCATTGCATCGATCAGCGATTCCAAAACCCCTTCTCGTTCGCTCTATAAACATTTTCAAATTTCGATCGCTTTGGACACCAATTGCCACTTCATATGACCAGCGCATTGCTGCATTCCATTACGGTAGATTGCTGCAGTAACAATACACGGTCGGCGTGTTTGTCTTGTTCAACTTCCATCATGAAAATCTACTCGCCGGCTGCAAAGAGTTTATTAATGTCATTATTCGTACCCAGWCTACAATAGTGACCTRGAGGWTCCGGGGTACTAATAGWGACGATTGATATGGCTTTAAAATCCATCAGAGAAACTGAAAAACTACTTATTATACACATTTATTTACATTATAATGTTTGGTTATTTTACTATTTGCATTATTTCTAGAGAAAGAGGTTTTGTTCCCCTGTTCCCTACTCTATTTCGTGTTCCTTTGTTCCCTATATATTTTTTGCTTTGTTCCCTTGTTCCCTTAGTAACATTTGCACTGTTCCCCAAATGCCCCTAGGATACACTCAAACCTGACACTGTCACATTAAAGTGTGACACTGTTACGCAGCTTCGTGCGAGACAAAGTCTGCCTTTCAAAGAAATTCAAGAATCGCAAACTTATTCTAGTCAGTCATGTCAAATCTCCAGTGGAAGAACTGTGAAGCCGAGTACAGCCATCGACTCAAAGTATACGTCGACAAAACTAAACAAAATGAAAAGCTCTACGAATTTCTAAGCGACGTTTTACCACCAGCAATCGCCTCAAYTGGATACGACCTCAATCACCAAATTCAAATCAATATTCTAAGCATTGGGAGTGGAGCAGGAAAAACTGATTTTGAAATCCTAAAGATTATCAAAGGTTATTTTAGAAGTTTGAAAGAGCTCCAAGGGACAGTTGGTCCAATAAAAATGCTTAACCGAGCTGTAGAACCTAACGAAAACGCCATGGACATCTACAAAGCTGCAGTTGAAAGACTAGGAGACGAGTTCAACAGTGAAGAAGTATCCTTCGACCTCGATYCACCGAGAACATTCGCAGACTACGCAGTCCAGCCAAAAGGTGATGTGAAGTTTGATATAGTGCACTTTATCCATAGTTTGTACTATATAGACGTGGAGGAGGCGCTAGTACACTGCTACCATGAAGAATTGAGAGAAAAAGGGATGATGTTGATTTGCCTAGCTGATGTAAGTGACATGATAGCGTTGCTTCAAATTCACGAAAAGATTTWAAATCTGCCAAAATATGACCTTATCAATGAAAACATTTCCTCAGTCCTCCAGAAATATTCCTGGAAGTTTGAAGAACAYRTAGAAGAGCATTGTTATGATATCTCTGAGGTTTTCGACGCAAGTTCTGAAAAAGGCAGCCTTTTACTTGATTTTTTTAGATTCGAGATAAATTTTCGTTCAAACAACAGTCCTGAAGCTGTAAACAAATTCTTGGATAAAATGAAAAAGTACTGCCTRTGTAAAGATGGTAAATACTTCGCAAATGTAGTTCAAAGAMTAATTTTAATACACAAGTGAGGTAGGGAGGAGTTCGAGTCACATGTTTCACGTTATTTTYGCTTAGAGAAATGAGAGCGAGCGAKTTACTTTTAAGGAATCTAAAGAAGYACTGTTGTCTGCTGGAAAGCAGACTAGAGTAWTGAATGTTTTRTTATCATASTATGAYCGGTAATAGAGCAGTACTAATAAAATTTTCTTCTTATTAACTTGATGTCTTTTTTCCGTTTGTATATTAGAATAGCAATTATCATAATCATAATTTTTGATGCTTGGTCAGTTTTAGTAATTTAAGGTCTATCAATAGTAAAACTAATGTGGGTTATGAGACGCTTTATGGGCATTTAACCCATAAAGGTCAGACGCGAATATTTTATATTTCTTATCAAATTACAACATTTAAGCATTTAACCGGCCATTGAACCTCCGTCTATAATTTTGTACTCCTATAGTCAACTCTCTCGTAAACGACCACCTCGGGATCGGGAAAAAGTGGTCGGTTAGAAGAGATGGTCGCTTACGAGAATGTTAACACAGGAAACCCAAACATGATTATCACAACACAGGAGGCCCAAATAGCTCAAAACACGTTTATTTCAATGTATACAATCTTTAAACAATTATACTTCTTTAATAGTTATTTTATCATAATCATGGTTCAAATATGTAAAGAACAATTTACAGTGTGACAACAGTATCTAATGTATACCAAAGTCTACGGGAATAACCATAGTCATCTCAGACAACGTGCACAATGTACAGTACATGTTTTGTCAAATACAGKTACGTGAATGTTAACTGTGTATTAAAAAAATGTGTGATAGATGCTTGCTTTAAGCTTTTTCCATGTGAATCATTAATAGTCGATTATTAATGCCAGTCCGCACATTCTTCAAGTCGATTTTAATGTCCTAATTCTATTGTTTTCTATGGTATAACTAACACTTTAGTGTATTTGATACTAAATAGTACGCTTCTACGGTTTCTACTCTATTAAGTATATAAGTAAATTAAACACATGCGTTTATTGTGTAAGGACCTATCAGTCGTGGGTGGTCGCTTACGGGAGAGGTAAAACAATTAAAAATTCCACAATTTCAACCGCAAAGGTGGTCGCGGTCACCTACAAAAGTTGTCGCTGAGAGAGTTTTTTTTTACAGAGTTTATATGGGAAACAAAACGGGAAATTTTTAAATTTAAAATTTAAAAAATAATTAAATTAAATTTTAATTTAAAAAAATTTAAAAAAGGTGTTCGCTTACGGGAGATGGTCGTTTACGAGAGTGGTCGTTCAAAGAGAGTTAACTGTATTTGTAAAGGTGTCTGTTAAAAAGGAACACATCCGGAACACCCGGAACACCCCGGAATACTCCCGTAACACCCACGTAACAGCCCTGGAACACCGAGCATCGGAACATATTGTAGCACCAAAAAGAATAATAAGTAATAAAATAAAGTGAATTGTAAAGAAAAAAGAAAAAGAAAAAGAAATATWCAAGAACATGAATAAATGAATGATTGGTCATTAGAATAATAAAAGTGGGCTATCGCACGACCTATAGTCATCGTGTCAAAGAAAATTCGCAAACGCAAATGGAGATATGYAGTCCAAATTGTTTAATGTTTATTTTCACTGCAACGAGAAATGCATTAGAAAGAAAGAGCTATATTTTAGTCCGCAATTTTTAGTTGCCGTCTTATTCAAAGCCATAAGGACCTTATCAAAAAAAGATTGGGTCGATAGCCCACTTTTATTATATTGATTGACTWATCACACAGAAAGAATTGAACACTAAGCTCAGGAGAAACATAGCGATTAGTTGTTTAAGCCTCGTCTTCAAGGCTTTAGTGCTCGGTCAGCCATTCGAAAGTTGGCTATTGTAGCGTAAATTATTGGTCGGACTAGCCGAAGGCTGRGTCGACTTAAGTTTTACMTTTTAGCCCATCTATCAGTGTATCATGTCGCGTTTGGACCACAGGAAGTTAAGAATTTAATAATTAACTATTGGGTTGGCTATGTTATTACATAACCGGAAGCTCAAGCGTATAGATGTACGAATGTCAGATTCTACTTGCGCTTTTATGCGATAAAAAACTATTCGTTTACAAATGTGGTATCTGTGATCTCATCGGAATGCATCAGTCTAGCCATCAGAAGTACGCGCATGTGCAGATCGCATGGAGCTTCGAGTAGTATGCTTACGGAATTGAATTCTAGCGTTAGACAGTCTTGTTAAAAAGGGCGACTTTGATTATTTTATAGGCATCTCTTATTTTTTTAAAGCATTTATTTTCTTGGCTTGAGGGGTCAACAATTTGAATTAAAAACGTATTAGGTATCATGATATCACTTAGCGACATATAGTCTACCACGTTTGATTTTATCAGCTCAGTTGTAAGGTAAAATACACTCTATTCGCAGGGTATTAATTACATGACCTTTTAGGACAAATTTAGACTTTTATTGTTTTGAAGTCGTTGCAGAGAGAACTAAAAGTATGTCCTCGTCGTGTSAATAAACGGTTTTGAACAGTACATTATTGAAAGTGAAAGTAACGCATTCTTGCTTTCACTAATGTGTTAGAAGTAAAAAAAATATATTTTCTACGCCATAGTTTACATTCATAATATAATCATATGATTAGACAGAATATAACATCATAATCTTATCGTGTTTAAAAACCTTTTACTCGTTCTCCTATACGCGCATCCATGTAATATCCTGTCTTTATCAATTTTTAAAAATAGCTAGTCCGACTTCACGCTCCAAGAGCGTCTAGTTTTACAAGAACCAATTAACGTAATTGTAATTGTACTCCTCTCGACCAATGAAAAAGTATCACTTTGTACTAAAACTTATGTAATAGGATTATAATCGGATTATTAATGTGTAGAGAGACAAAMGTCACGGCTGTTTCGCAAAGGACATTAGGTTTCAGGCTACCGCCCGGTCAAGACATGTTGCTAAGGAAATATTACTGCCTAACAACCAAGATGGCGGCAATTTTGAATTTTCGCGGGGATTTTTAATTGCCGGTTTTCAAACATTTACTATTGACAACCATTCAATTTCGCGGATAAAATCCTTTATTGTATAAATATGTTTTAGTTGAGACAAAAATTTGACAAAAATTCGCTTGTAAATATATATTTTGATCGCTTTTCTTCACCACTCCGGTTCGCGCGACTGCCGCGAAAATCGAGAAAATGAAGAAACAAGAAGGGACATTGGTGGCCAGAGATATTTAGCAATGTTGACAAGCCAATTTTAGTAATTGCATATTTTTGTTTCAATTTTGTCAACGTTGAGATGACGACCATAGATTTTTGGCAGCTTCAATGGAAACCATGTACATAAATGTCTGGAGGTTTGTGAAGAATTTTAAACTTCATGTATTAAATACAATGGTTACCTACATTTACTGTACATGACTTTTACACATACAAGAACTTTAATTTGATGTCTTTTAGTTAGTATTATAAGAATATAAAATTATTAAAATAGTAATTATGATAATCATAATCGTAATTTGTAGTCAGGACTTCTCCAACATTCTGTACTTAATAAACGACAAATCAAAGGCAAAGGATTAACTCGAAATAATTGCTGTCCTGTATTCAATGAAAGAGGTATTCCAATGAGACCGTCGTTCAATAAACACTTCTGACAAACTTTTAATTTTTAGGTAATGTTTACAACATGAGCGGCCGTGTTGTATGGTATTTTACAATCTCGAGCCGAAGGGGAGAGAATGTAAAGCCCATACAACACGGACGCGAATGTTGTAAATTACTTGTGAAACGTTTAGGTGTATTTCATAATCTACTAAAAACTTAAAGATAAAAGTGAATTTGGCTGAGAAAATTAGATTTGAAGTTTATGCAAATCAAGACATTTTTGTATCAAATATTACAACACTCTTCACGGTTGTGATTTCTATTGTGTTTTCCTCATTAATTATTTATGAGGCTTTACAAATTTAACCCTCTGGCGACTGCCCTATAGAATATCGTTCGAATTCGAATGACGCGTCTAAAATATATTCATAAGTTACCGAAATAGTAAACTATAGCCCTGAAATTGTTAGTGCGAACTCACTAGTCAATATTGTCGATCTTAAAGTTCAAAGAATTTCCCAACGAGGTAAAAAAAGGCACAAAACAGTGAAACTAAAACTGCTGACAAGTGAATGCCAAAATTTGCGTTTGGAGGACTACAGGAAACACTAATTTCCAGCTCAATTTTTAGCGTCAAAACATGTTTTTTTTAGCAAAAAGTCCACTTCACTTGCAAACCCCTTTGATAGCACGTCCTCATTTTGCCGTTTTTATTCTGTCAAAGTCCCTGCAGACCTCTCAACAGCGCCCTTTTGAGCACCCAGTACAATAAACTCCTATGCACGACCGAAACGCATCACGGGAAGAGACAGAATTTGGACATAAATCTTGCAGCATTCTTCTCTTAAGAAGAAGCTCCCCCGCACTTTCAGGCAAAATATTGGTCCAATTGCATTTATGTCGCGCCAACTTGGAGTCATAAACTTGAAAACCCTAGCCTAGTGTTTTCAAGTTTACTCGCGCATGCGTGCCATTGACAGTGTCCCTTTAATCTTCTAAAAAATCGAAAAGGCTCCCTTTCTAATCTTCAGCACCAGTAGGAAGAACCAGAGGTTTCTTCGTTTTCTTCCTCCTCCAAGGATTTTTCTTCATTTTGAACTCTGTTACAATCGACGCAACAACAGCAGGAGCGTAGCATGGACTTTTTGGCTGGTACGCACGTGTCAGGGACCGCGACACATATTTTGGATCTGGGGGTCTAAGTACCGCAAATTTTGAAATATAACTCTTTGAAATGCGATTCCCAGCGTTTTGAGAGACATCGAGGGCATATAAAATGAAATGTTAATATTTCCTTGCCACTAGTACGCACATGCGTATTGAGTAAAGGACGCTACGCGTCTGTACAGATGTCTGTACATATAAGAACATGTTTCAGGCAAGAGCAAAGCAGAGTTTTGCAGCCCGTTTTACACTTAGAGTGAGGCATCCAGACAATTCCAAATTGATCATCTACGATTTTCCAGCAATTACAGTCTGAGGAGTAAGAATTAGCTGGAATGATAATTATAATGCAGTTAACTTGACACGTTCAATGTGCACTTTAATAGCGAATCAGAAGCTGGGAGCAAGAACGCGCTTGCCTTACGTA